TAGATAGATAGATAGATAGATAGATAGATAGATAGATAGATAGATAGATAGATACAAATTTTTATTTATCATGGTTTTAATATGTGCAATAATCAGCATTTGCATTTAATTTCAACAATTGATGCTAAAGATGATTTTGGGTGTTAATAATTTCAACAATTATTTAACAGCTTAGGGATTTACAAACTGGGAAGATACCTTTCGAAATAATCTTTTCCTCTCTTTTCCCTTTCATCTCCTAAATTCTGCCTCATCTGAGCATCATAGAAAATAAAAACAGCTCCTTGTTTTGAATTCACGAACCACTATAATAAAATAAGCTGCAACATTCCTGTTATCTTGCAACCATGATGTATGCTTTATGAATTAGTTGCCAAAAATTCATGTTATAGCTTTGTGATGTAACTTTGCTTCTTAACTACCTCCCTGTGAAGTTTTCAATACAAGTACTAAATAACAGGGCTTGCATTGTGATGTCATATTTTATCACCAGGAATAGAAATGGAGACCTACAAATTTTTAAATTTATCCTACAGAAAATCACATTAGGCCATGACCCAATTAACTGCATTTTAAGCCTAGTATTTCTACAACTTCAATCACTGAAGAATCTAAAGCAATAATCTCTGTCTCACCTTGTGACATTTATCAATATGCCCCATTTCACTGGTTCAGACAGATTTTTACCCTTATCTCAGCTGAGGATAATCGATCCTGGGAAGCTCTGAGTCTCAGATCCTTCACTTCCTGAAGCAGTTCACCTGGAGGGCCCTGTCTAATGAGGTGATTATAAAGGCATTGATGCAGCAGATCTGGAACTAAAGCAATTGTTCACCAAGATCTCTAGCATTTCACAAAGGAAGAAGCCAAGAAGAAACCACCTGATTAGAAGCTGCACAGCCCATCTGAAGAGAAGCAATACATGACAGGACGCTAGCCAGATGAATACTGGTGGATGCTGGTACGCAGACAGACTTTTCCCCCCTTATTTTCCTCCCCAAAAACTAAACCTGACCACATAGTTTTGTAGCGAAGCACGGTTGTTGAGCTAGTATCTATATCTATATCTAATATTCTTTTGCTTTGGTGACTATTTATAGTACAGCTGTGTGGAGCTGAGATGAAATAGTGTCAAGGAAGCAAAAACACTTGGTACATCATAAAAAGATTTATGCCTGCTAAACTATATTCTTAAATGAATGCACACAATAAGGAATATGGTATAATCAAAGATGTACATCAGCAGTTCCCAAACTGTAGGTCAAGAGGCTATCTACACTCCCACAGGATACAGTCAACAAAGCTCTACTATAAATAGTCACCAAAGCAAAAGAATATTAGATACAGATATAGACACTAGCTCGATAACTCTGCTTCGCTACGAAACTATGTGGTCGGGCTTAGTTTTGGGGGAGAAAAATAAGGGGAAAAAAGTCTGCCTCTGTGTCTGCATCCATCAGTATTCATCTGGCTAGAATCCCGTCCTATGTGAGAGAGTTGAGGGCTGTTTGGAAACTGAAACAGCATTTGCTGTGTGAGCAAGGAGACAGCAAGGAGCCTGGGCGTGGCTTATCTCAACTGTTCTGTACTAAACCTGCTTGGTGCTGTGAAACTAAAAGGGAAACTTTTCTCCTCTGCTTGTGTTTCTCATTTGGAACAGATTTCTTTTCAGGTTAGGAGTGGGAATAGAATTCTTTAGCATCAGAGAGTGTTAATGATAATATAGGGAATACTAATGCTCTGATGGTCATTTCAAAAAATCCTTTCTTAGTGAGCACCTAGAAGCCAAGAGGAACACAGGTGCCAAATTTTAAGTTTGTAGGCTTTACGGTTCTGGAGATGGACGTCTTCCTGCAACCCTCTTCCAGTGAAAATGGAGTTTGGGGAGGCCACACACTGCACTCACGAGCTCCATTTTCACTGGCAGAGACATTGTGGCACGGTCCTTTGCTATTTCCAGGGGAGCCCCACGGGCCAGATCTAGGCCCTGCATGGGCCGGATCTGGCCCCTGGGCCTTGAGTTTGACATCCCTGTTCTGAACTAGGGTATGATGGCAGTGAATATGGCAGAAACTTGGTGACTATTTTATAAACCAATGCATTGTAAGTCATTTGAAATTATGCATGGAGTTTAGAAAACCTTGCAAGTATCAATTGTTTGCAAGTTTCTCTGCCTTAGAGTCATTGAGTTCAAACAGACTTACATTGATTGAGTGCATAAATTTGCCCTATAAAATGATTTGATGTTTCTATTAACATTTTGGGATAGCTGTCTGGAATAATATATTCCAAAAGACTAAAAATGCTAGTTTTCTTTGGAAAGTAAAGAGCAATAGAATTCTGTTGCATATTTATGATCAATAAACTGATTATACCATGACCTCTCTTAGGGAAGTCTTGCTTCATCATATGGCACACTATATTAATTTTATAATATAAACAAAAAAATTATATATATAAATATAAAAATAAATTTCAAATTTCATATAAAAATACCAGCTAATGTTCTTCAAAAGCATCTTGCTCTACTTTATTTTCAACAATGACCTATATAATGAAAAAGCAATTAAAGAATTCCAAACTAGGGAAATTTGTCAAATTGTAACAGAGAATGATTTTCAGCAAGTGGAAATAAAGCAACAGGAATTTCATCGTTATTTTTTCAATAATTTAAATGTACGTGTACCACCAATCTTTGGGAACACTGTTTTTGTCAAGTGAAAACCGCTCCTTACAACCTTTGTTTACTGAAGCTTCAAATGGAAACTGACAGGAATTCAATGGTATAATGTGGCCTGCCTATACACCGGTTTTGGTTCTAGAAGTTTCACTGCTAGAAAACAGAGCACATCGGTGACCACACAAGGACAGGTGGTCAGCTGTCTTGTACCTGATAATAATGACATAATGATCTCACCTCCAAAGAGTTGATTCTTGATTTCCTTGAGCTGGCCTTCCACCATAAGTGAGGGCTGCTCCAGCATTTGCTTGCATTCTTGTAACAGACAGTTCACCATTTTTTGATTATTCATGTTGCACACTCCTGCACTGCTGGAATCAAGAGGAGAGGGTGTTCTGGTTGCACAGTGATCAATTACCTAGGAGAAGACACTAAATGAAAAGAATCCCTTTCAGGCTGACATACCTTGTGAACAAAAGAAGTAGTGGGGGAGATGATTAACTAAAACATCATCAATTATCTGCAAGGCTCAAATGGGGTAGGATAATAGGATATGTATATTATAGCCTCCAAGGGTTTTATTAGAGTAGGGTATGAAATTACTCCAGGGTCCATAAGACAGACTGAAGTACAACAAACATCTTGCAAAGTGAGCATAAAGAAAGAATTTGAAATCAGTGTTTTAAAACCCAAACAGTGAAATGGCCAGCTGACCTGTAAATAAAAGAATCACTTTACATATATACAACTTCTTGGGCTTAAGTGCTTTAAACTGGAAAAAAAAAACAGCAAGAAAGCATTCTAGCTTTAAATTAAGAGAAAAGAGACAGAATATTAGATACACGGAGTTCTACCATATAGTCAATGAATCAGAATAGAGCTATAAGGGACCTTGGACGTCTTCTAATCAACCCCCCTGCTCAAGCAGGAGACCCTATACCAATGGTGTACCATTTCAGACAGGTGGTTGTCCAGTCTTTTCGTAAAAACTTCCAGTAATTAGCACCTACTACTTCTGAAGGCAAACTGTTCCGCTGATTAATTGTCCTCATTGTTAGGACAATTGTTAAGTTTCTTTTTAATTCCAGCTTGCTTTTCTCCTTGATTAGTTTCCATCCATTGTTTCTTGTCTTGCCTTCTGGTCCTTTGGCAAATAAGTTGACCCCCTCTTTGTGGCAGCCCCTCAAATACTGGAACACTGCTACCTCTTGTCCTTTTCTCTAGACTGGCCATATCCAATTCCTGCAACTGTTCTTCATATATTTGTCTCCAGGCCTTTAATCATCTTAGTTGCCCTTCTTTGTTCTTTTTTCCAAATTCTCAAATCTTTTTTGTACTGTGGGGACCAAAACTGGGGGCAGTATAATCTTGCTAAGGATTTATAAAGTGTTACTAATATAAATATATGATAAGTTCATGTACTACACAGGAGTTGGAAGATGGCAACCTCTACTTTTCCCCCAGCCAATAAACAGGAATGGATTAACTTCCCTTGTAAATGATCATATTGATAGTCGTTCTTAAAAAATAGAGAGCTGCCAATGAATGTGGCATTATTTGGTTGACTGGAATTCTGTAATATCCGAGCTTAATATATGTGATGGACTCCAGGAAAACTCCCCCAATTTTTAATGCATAGTGCTTCCAAATTGTTAACTTCTTATGTGCTGAACTTTTCACATTTTCTATGATTCCCAAAACAACATGACCAAAAACTGCAGGGTGATAATGGTAAAAGAACCAGGTTGAGAAAGACTAGTTGTGATGACCCAGAGTGTAACACAAATGTAACAAAATCCAAAATGTAAATAAATAAAATGTCCTTTAATGCTTCCAACTTGGCCCCACTGTTCAATAATTCTCAGTTGGAGATAAAACGTACTCAAAAATAATCCTCAAAAGAAAGCAACACAGTCCAAATTTAATGAGCAGATAGAGGTGCAAATAAAAACCAAACAAACTACAATGATGAAATTTCTACAACAGAACAGGAGAAGCATTTACCAAATTCAAGGAGATAACAAGGCACAGTCTGCTGGAAGGACACCAAGCAAGATAACCTCAAACCAAAATAAAACACGCTTTGTCTCAAGCGTTTCAGGTCCAAACCCTTGCGCAGTTCTCACACCTGCAGCCCATGAAGAGGATCAAGGCCCTCTCCTCCTGAGTAGACCACATCTCTCCCTTATCCTCTCCTCCCTGCGTGCCCTAAGATGGAGAGGGGATGGGCCTGGGTCCTCCTCTGACTGCTCAGCCGGCCTCTGCCCTTCCCCAGCCTCCTCCACAGCCTCCGGAGCCACACTTCCACTCCCTGTCGGCTGTTCCTCCTCTCCCTCAGAGTCAGTCTCCACCAGGGGCATGACACTAGTCTACAGATACTGATACTCTCTTTAAGATTAGAATGCTGTCCTGTCATGAGTTTCTCCACCCAAGAGCAGAACATGAATGGGAAGGGAAAATGTCATAAAAAAAGGATATGATTTTGACAGAAACCTAAGTATTTATTCCTGAGGTGGAAGTTTCCTTCAATTCAGTTTCTAATTTGTCTCTGTTATTTTTTCAGCCCTAAATTCAAGGTAGTTCATATAATTTAAAAAGTTTAAACTTCTGCAGTCAGTTTATGAAGCTGCCGCCCCATGCAACCAAGTTTTCTAAAGCAGTATGTGTACAATCTCTGAGACTATATTAAAAAAAAAATAATCTTCAAAGTAGATCATAAATAGTTCATAAATGCTTGTGTCATAATTGATTTCTCTACAAGCAAATGCAGTAAAACTGATTTTCTTTTGCAATACATCAACACAGAAAAATCCTACATTTTATATTCTTAGAAACTGAATTTCACATTCTGAAAAGCCAATTAGATTACCTAAGCCCCTTTATTCTTTTTTTTTTAATTACCCTAATTTTGATCTCAGGTTACACTATTTAATTCCAGAGACCAACAAATGGGGAACAAAGACTTGAGGAGTTCTATGTGGAGGCTGCATTTATGGATTAATCCCAACAGGGAACAAGTAAAGCTCTTCACAGGCGCCTTCCCTGGGACTTAGCACTGTCAACTGAGAAAAAGCGATTATTATTTATGGCTACTGGTGTTTTGACTTTCAAATAAATATTTTAATTATTTTAAATGCCACACCAAAAATTCCTTGTGCTTTGAATGGAGATCTGTGGTGGCCCTGAAATAGATGCAGCTGTAATTATACAAATCTTTTTGTTATGTTAGGATTCATTTGCAGAGCCAAATGGGGAATGAGTGATGCTTGAATTACTAGGGGATCTGGCAGCTGCAGGAAACACAAAGCTCATTATTACCATTAGGAGTTCCCTCATTTCCCTTTGGGGAAGGTAGGCTTTTCTTCTTCTTCTTCTTTAAAGTATTCAACTAAAGGTTCTAAAAAAAGGGACTCTGGCTTTCAAGCATCGGAAAATTAATTATTCAAACATGGAGAAATACAGATTTTCCTTACGTGCGGTGAGTCCTTTCTTTGGCTGCTGGCTCCATCAGGAGTATCATGAAGGATAATGCAGGCATAGAGTGAGACCAGTATGGAACTGCTAACACACTGTTGTTAAACCATTCTGAAACAACATAGTTTGTTATCCTGCTTTTTAAGTTGGTTTCTTTATTGCTTCGTATAGCTTTTATTTTTAAAAACATTTGACAGACGTACACCTTAGGGTACTATAAAAAAACAATCAGTCTATCAGATATTTTGCTTCTCATCCAAGAAGCTTCTTGGATGAGGAGTGAAACATCTTCAAGCAAAACAAAGAAAGAAAGTCCAGTTGAAAAAGCACCTTTTGAGACAACCCTGACTTGGATGACTGAGAATCTCCATAGACAATTATTCTATCAATTTAGATCAGTGCTTTGGTGTAATGCATTGCATTTCCTTGCAATGGGGAAACCCAAGTCTATGTCCCTTCATGATCACATTGCTCACAAAGCAATTTGAGGCCAGTTTTTGTCAGTCCAAGCTCCCTTACAGGATTGTTATTAGAATAAAATTAGAAGAGTTTTTTTTTAACAGAAAAAGCCTGTGTAAAGCATGGCTACTTGGTTCATGGGGATTGCCTTGCTTCCAATAGCTAGAACAGTGTTTTTTCAGACTTGGCCACTTTTAGATTTATGGGCTTCAACCCCCCCAGAATTCAGCATTGAGAACTTTGCTGAATTCTGAGGACTAAAACTCACACATCTTAAAAGTTGCCAAGTTTGAAAAACACTGAGCTGGACAATCTACTTTGAGCTACGATATAAAGAAACAAGATGTCAAGGAGAACCTCTGTGTTTTAATCAGCCATTTCACCGGAAGTGCCAGGAAAGAGTGTCTTCTGTCCATGTCAGAACAAAGAATTGAGCAGAATCAGCACAAAGATGAAGTATGACTTAATTTAATAAATTAAAATTCATAAAATTTTAGGACCTCTTTTCAGAGCACGATACCATAATCTTCTGAGATGGAAGGATGCTAATATATATATAACATTAAATCAGATAAAAATCATAGTTATTACCCAAAGCTAGACGTGTTTTCAAATATCAAAAAAAAAAAAAAAAAAGAAGGAAGTTGTACTGAGCTGTATTCACCCAAAGTGTTTGCCTGGAAGGACCAGCTTTAATTATAGTATTGCACAGAAACCAGGAAACCCAAGCAGTTCAAATTAATAGAAGGATTTATTGCAAGCTTAAGCTCTCTACAAGAATCTGAACTACTAATGGTCAAAGCAAATTGACAGTAGATAAGAGTCAATGGAATTCAAGGTAAGCTAGACTTAGATATCTTATGGATCTGAAGGGACTTGAGACTGATGATGCATTTGGCCCCTCCCTCGGATTCAGCCTGGTTGTCTCCCACAATTGCATGGTACGTGCTACTACATCAGAACCAAGTTTTTAATTTTAGAGCCAAAATCAGAAAAAGTCAAGATTCAAAAAGTTGTTTGTTACCTGTGGAATGCATTTCATATTTCTTCTTCTTTAAGGACAGTCATTGGATAACCTACATGCTAGGGTCTATTTGTCTGTGCAGGAACGATTCCCTGCACAGACATCTGTACTATAATCAGGTTTCTCTAGTCCAGTCCTGGTAACTCAGGTTTATATCCAGGCTTCTGTAAGTTAAATAAGAACCCTTCGGGATTCATTAGGGATTCCCCTAATTAAAAATGGTTAAAGTTTCACAAATTTATCCGTTTTGATAGTGCACTTAGCCCTGAGTTTTTCAGCAAAAATGGTGAAATGTTGCATATTTCTTTAATATCCTAGAGCAAACATGCATGAATGTCAGAATATGATGAAATAAACAACTTGTCAATACTTTTTATTATTTTATTCAGGGGTGGAAATGATGCGAGGATACCAGCTAAAGTCTGTCAATACAATGGAACTGTCTATGGCAGCATATCATG